TCGTTCCACCAGCCTGGTCCCCTCTGTCTTGTCGCTCTTCCATGCCTGCCTAGTTTCCTCGGCTGGACTGTGGGTACCTGGAGGTCAGGGTCAACTTCCAATTCACCTGTGCATCCCTGGAGCCCCCCTGGCTGAGTTGGGGATACTGGTGGCAGAATGCATTCTAGCCTGAGGTCAAGCGTGTGGCTCTGATGGGACAGAAAAACTCCCCTCGATGGAGCGTTCACCATGCCTCAAGGTGGACATGCATTGCCTTAGTTATCTCCCCAAACCACACAGGTTATAAAAGGGGTGGGGCCTGGAATCCAAACCAGGGTTCTCTAAGGGTCTCCAGATGTTCCGTGTAGGAGGCCAGGGAGGGGGTGACGGAAGGAGGCAGGTGGGTGGGCTTGGGCCTTTCACCCCTTTCTAGTCAGAGTAGCTTCCATTTGTCCAGCGATTCCATTGCAGGAAACGAAACAGAAAATGTTCCAAGGCCTTCTCCATGCAGAAACCATGGCTGGCCTTCCCCTTTCTGCACAGTTGCTCTCTCTGCATTTTCCCTAATAAAGCCACTTTAAATTCTTATATAGGATTTGCCGTTAATTAGTTGACAGATAAGCCCTGAAGAAGCCAGGCCTGGCCTGGGGGCCTCAGGGAGAGAGGATCTCCCGGAAATTGTGGCAGCATTGCAGACGCACGCACGCGCGCACACACACACACACACACGTTTAAAACCAGCAGCTAACCACTCACTTTAAAGGCGAGGGGTTCCAAACTGATCGTTGACTTTATTAAGAGACATGTTGTTTTCTTTGGGAGACGCTTCCCTCAAAGTTCCTTTTAAATGGGCAGCTGCATGGTCGCTTTTTACTTGTGTGTGTGTTTAGTGAGCCTTTAATACTCGGCTGAGAGGCTGGGGTTCAGGCAGAGAGAAGCTTCCAGTGTTGGGAGCTCTGCCCTCTGAGGATCTGTCAGAAATGGAGAGGAAGCATCGCAGAAATCAAAGCCAGTGAGGAAAACAGGATTGCAGCGTCCACAGCTCTTGGGGGCAGCTCCCCAGTTTCATGGGGTGAGGTGTCCAAAGCCAGAGGTCTTTCCCTGGACCTTGTCACCTCCTGACATCAGTCATCCCATGACGACTTTGAAAGAAAACCCCAGAGTTTCTGCAGCCAGGTGCCGTCCTTGCAAGATGCTTTGTCATTACCATTTCTAGCTCTTTCGGCCTAGTTGGAAATGCCCCCTGTTCAGAGCCCATGGGTTTGCTACCAGTGTCCGTCACCTGGGACCTGGTCGCCAGGTGTTTCCGGCAGGAGGACAGTTGTGAACAGTTCAGAGAGTGGGAAGGTTGGGGCTTGACTTGAGTGGTGTTTTCGACCAGTAGGCCACCTCCTACTCGTCTGTAAGCCCTGAGACTGGCCAGCGTGCAGCACGTTGTGCAAGAAACAGCTGCTGTTTTGACAAAGGACGCACTTGCCTCACTTTTTGAATCACCAGAGTGAGTCAGGGGTCATCTATCCCAGGCCTCTGTCCCTGGGCAGGTGGACACGGAGACCACGCACACGCATATATGGGGACGCAGCATGTAAAATATGTTCGTGTAACTATATGCGTGTGCGTTTTGTTCACATTAGCAGTTTTTAAATATGTATAAAATTAATATATATTGCGACTTTTCCAATCAGGTAATTCATATACATAGCAGAATAGCCAAAAGATACCTGGAGAGCAAGTCCCCTCCTCCCCTGGGCCTCCTCAGAGCCAAGCACAGTTTCAAGTTTCTCCATCTTTCTAGAGACAAGCAGAGCATATGCAAACATGTGTATAGATACTCTTTTAAACAATGTAGCATTGTTTTGCACTTTGCTTTTTTTTGCTTAAATATATCTTGAATATCATTCTATCTCATATTGTGTGTATGTAGGATTGCATTTTTGCAAAATAATTCTTGAGTGGATATGCTGATACACTATGTGCTATCGCTGGACATTGAGGTTGGTTCTACGCTTTTTTTTGGTTGGTTTTTTTTTTGTTCTTTGTTTTTAAATACATTTCATTTATTTATTTGTTTATTTAGGCTGCGTTGGGTCTTCGTTGCTGCGTGTGGGCTTTCTCTAGTTGTGGTGAGCGGGGGCTACTCTTCGTTGCGGTGCGGTGGCTTCTCTTGTTGCAGAGCACGGGCTCCAGGTGCGTGGGCTCAGTAGTTGTTGCTCGAGGGCTCTAGAGCACAGGCTCAGTAGTTGTGGCTCACGGGCTTAGTTGCTCCGCGGCATGTGGGATCTTCCCAGACCAGGGCTCGAACCCGTGGCGGGCGGATTCTTAACCACTGCCCCACCAGGGACATCCCCTTTGTGAATTTTTAATGCCTTTCAGATGTGGGGCCTCTCTGTGCTCCTTGTTACATGTGACCAGTGACTCAGGGGCTGAGGGTTCTGTATTTTAGACCCCCACTGCCACCCCCCTGAAACATTCAGTTCCCTTGTTAACGGATCATTATATGTGACATTTGGAGGATAGACTGGCTGGATGGATAATAAAACAGTATTTGGCTTATGTTTCATAGCCATCTCCTGCCTTTGTGTTGTCCCCAGAGCCTTAGAAAGCCTTGATGTCCTCCAGGACTGAGACTGTGAGCCTTGAACCTGAGCAGCCAGACCCAGCGTGGCAGAGGCTCATGCTCGGTGGGTGGCGGCACCCGGTGCACTTCGGAGAGCCCTGTTGGTTTCTCACTCGGGCCTGCGTATGTCTGCACACATGGCGAAGGGGGTGTGGCATGCCCCCCGCGGCCCCCCGCCACCTGGGTCCCTGCCTGCCAGTAGCAGGTCACCTCGGGTGCCCTGGCCCTGCTACCCCACGATAGGGGGGGTCAGTTTCCCTTCCATCAAGCGACCTGTGCCAGGTTCAGCTGTCCGCAGTCGGGCTTTCTGATGGATCTGCCCACGGAACCCCTTGATGCCGGGCTGGGACAGACCTCAGAGTGAGAGGTGGGGGGACCGAGGGGCCCAGGGAGGCCCACAGACCGTGTGCTCTTCGACATCTCCTGCAGTGCTACCCCCATGGTCCCCCAGTTCTTCCCACTACGTCTGGGACCCTGCAGTCGGCCGTGTGCCTCCAGCATCCAGCACCTGTCGGCAGAAGTCACCAGACACCCTCTGATTAAGTGACCCCTCCCCCGCCGCCCCCCCACCCCCACCCCCACCCCGCCCCAGGAAGTAGGGTCTTCACTGAAAGCTCTTTGTTTTTCTCTAAGTTTTCTGCATCTGTGTGTGATTGGAACCAAACATCAACTTTACTTTTTTTGTCGTATTTCAATATTGGCTTTTTACCCCCTTTCTTGAAATCTCCTTTTATAACTTCTGCTGCTGCTGCTTAAATATAGATGTCTAAGTCCTCCTCCTTACCAGATTGTTTATATTTTTGAGAAGCCTTCTGCTTATCTGCGATTGCTCTCTCCTCTGTCTCCATCCCCACGCTGCCACATTGGTTTCAGTTGCTCTTTTTTTCCCCCCCTGCCTTCACTTGACTGGGATGTGTTTCAAATGTGGTCTATCAAAATGTGCAGTGTTTCCCTCTTTTCTGCAGTAGCTTTGACATCTGTTCTTGAATCCGAGCCCACGTTATTCTTTTGGACTTGCTTGCCCAAGAATTGCCGCAATGCCAGAAGCGCGGAAGGAGGGAGAGAGTGCAGTGTGGTGGCATCTCCCCCACCCCCTTGTTCCTCCCCCCAACCCCCCACCCCTTTAAAAACTCTCTGCCATTTCCAAGTTGACAGCACCCTAGATGTTTGTTCCAGCACTCCGCCGCCCCGTCTGGCAGCGGCCCACCCTGTAGCGGAACGAACGAAGTGCTCAGCAGCAGGGTTCGCAGACGCCTTTGGTTACTTCCGCCAAAAAGGAAGCCGGGTGGGTGGAGGGTGGGCGTAGAAGGCCTCTTGGCTTCCTGGATGTCTGTGCATGGATCTTCAGCTTGGAGTTTCCTCGCCTCCCTTAGCTCTGCTGGGCCTCGGGGCGACGGGCTGTACCACTGAGAAGCCACTTGGAGCCGCCGCTCGCATCCTAAGCAGAATGTGCCCGTGTGTGTCTTCAGTAGCCAAAGCCACCCAGCACGAGAATGCGACTCTCGGTGGCTTCGGGAATGTGTCCTTGCACTCCTGCTGTCCGCCCAGGACACCACCCTCCTGGGCCCATCTGCCGCAGGCTTGTTTCAAACGGAGCCTCTTGGCTTCTCCTCCCAGAGCTTCCAACGCTAGGACCCAGGTTCTCTGACGCTCCGCGTGCCGGTTTGTTGTGTGCGACAGGGGCCCACCCGCTCCTGTTGGTTCTCAAGAGGCTCAGGGGCAAGTCTAAGGGTTGGGGGATAACACTGTTCCCAGGTGCCTCGCTTCCCAAGTTGACCCGGCGCTGGAGATCCTTATTCTTGGGACTTGCCTCTTAAGGTCCCTTTTGAAAACAACTGACAGGTCCTGAACATGATGTCTGGTCTCTAGTAAGCCCACAATAAGTATCTGTTGGACAAAAGCAAATAAGATGTGACTACAGAAGATGCCAGGCCCAGAGAGTCAGACAGGATGCCCCGGGGAGCAGCCCGGAGTCAAGCAGCAGGACTGGGGCCCAGAGACGTGGCAGGAAAGACGCTCGTGAAGAGCAGAAGCGAGTGACTCCGGGGAGGGGTGGTGTTTGGGCACTGGCCTGACTCTGGTTTTAGCCAAGAAAAATGCATCTGCGTGTCCTGTCATGGGAGCAGTCACTTGTGGTGCGCCTGTCGATACACAGCATGTCAAGCCGAGCGGGTTTGGTTTTTTCAAGCCAGTCAGCGCACGGGGGCGGATGGGAGCCTCCTGGTGGTGCCCCGGTCCCTTTCCGCTGGCCCCCAGCCCCTCCTGGGCCACGAGGTGGTGATCCCTGGAGCCACGGGCTCCCCCACCGCCCCGCCACCCGGTGCCCTGGTCGGGTGCAAATGTGCTCTCCTCCCGTACAAAGTGCAATTACAATCTCGCCTTCCCTTCTCGTTTCTCTCCGCAGAGGGAACTCGATGCCACCGCAACAGTATTGGCGAACCGGCAGGATGAAAGCGAGCAGTCGAGAAAGCGGCTCATCGAGCAGAGCCGAGAGTTCAAGAAGAACACCCCAGAGGTGAGCAGCGGCGTCTCCCTCCCCGGCTCTCAGGAGAGGGGGCGTCTTCCCGTCCCAGCGCGCGTTCGGAGGCTGTGTCGTGAGCACTTCATTCCTAGCAGACGGGCCGTCTGCTCCTTCCTTTCCGCTGCCCTTGGCCCCAACAGCGAGCCCCTGTGCGGGCTGGGGACCAGATTAAAGCCCGAGTGAATTCTAGATGCAGACGCTGAACCAGCTGGGGAGCCAGGGGCAGGACCCCAGCCCCTCCATGCCCGTGTGCTCATGTCTGTAGGCAGGACCTCACCCCGTGTCCTTAGGGAGCGTGAGTACAGGGACAGAGCCGGGTGGCAGGGCCTCAGAGGGGCACCTGCAGGCTGCACGCATCCAAGGATGCAGTATGCCGATGCTTCTTGCGAAACAGACGTTTAGTCTGGTCTGGCCTTTTACTTGCCTCTGTGTTTCCTGAAATATGCTTTAAAGGGCACTGGAAATGTGCACTTCGTGAGCTCCTGATTTTTCTTTTTTGGAAGTATGTGTTCAGAGGACAGTGTTTAGAGTGGCTGGGGCAGCCTTTTCCTGCCCTATTTTCTTGGTCCCTTGTTCCCTGAGTCCTTATCAAAGGCTTCAGAAGAAATAAAAAGACAGGAGAGTTTTACAGACAGTTGAGCAGACGTGAGGATTGCTTTCCGTGAGCTTCTGCCAGTTGGACCCACAGTGGTGCCTGTGCCAAGGGCTCGTACCCAGCCTCCTGCACCCTCCACTCAGGTGTGAGCGCGTGGCGGGTGTTCAGAGCTTCAGCCCTGGCTGCCAGGCCTCCAGATTCTTCCATGGAGAACAAAGGAACAGGCCTGGAAGAAAAGCTGCTTTCTGGGAGGGATGCTTCTAACTTTTATAATAGTCCTGGAAAATGATGTGTGAATTGAATTTGCTTAAAAGTGGACCCATTTTAAGTGCTCCAGAGGAGCTTGCTGTTTAAGGGAGTGTTACTGTGAATCATTTGGGGAAACAAGTAATTAACCCGCTATTTTCAGAATAAGTATTTTAGGAGAAAAAATCGTGGTAGTCCAGTGGAAAGACGTAAGGCTGTAGGGGCAGACCCACCTGAGTTTTAAATTTTAGGTTCATTGCTTACCCTCTCCACCCACCCTGCCCTGAAATGTGGATCTTCCGTGTTGTATCAGGACCAGACACGCGGGTCAGAGTGATTCAGGCTTGGGGGTTGCTGTCCTCCGTGCCGCTGGGGTTGGGGGTGGACTGCTGGTCTCCACGTTCCACCTCGTCATGTCATGAGCAAAGGCAGGATCAGAGAAGGCAGTCGAGCGACAGGCCACCTTCCTCCTCTTGGGCTGCTCAGAGCAGACCTTCCGGGAGGGTCTCGCCGCGGGGTTTCTCGCGGTCTTGTCTTTGACTTTGTTTCACTAGACCAGCCCGGGTCAGGTGTGTCTCTCGAGCCACCTTCAGCGCTGATCTAGCAACTAGCTGTCACCGCTGTCCTGTGTTCTCACTGTCCTTCCCTTGGTGACCATATGTCCAGGGGTGGCCGTAGAAAAATCTAAAAAGGAGGCGAGGTCACGCTTCTGAGGCGTCAGACAACCGCAGGTGAATACAATTCGTCCTGTGAGGAAGTGCGCTGAAGAGAACTGGATGCCTGGGTGTTCCTCTTGGGTCCCAAGGTCCTGTCAGCTAAAGGTGGTGCCGGGGAAGGGCGTGTCCCCTCCAGCCCCCTCGGGCTCAGCTCAGCGACCGGGCCCCGTCCCTCCATTGACATCTAAACAGGGCTCGTGGGGCAGGAACTGGCCGCCGGGCCCCATCCATGGCCTATGTTGAATCCCAAGCCAGTTACTTGATGAAACCTAGCCTCAAACTTCGCATTTTATCTCCTAATCCCAGTAAGTGGAAGAGGCTTGGGGAGGAGCAGCCTGGTGGGGAAGAGCCATTTGGGGCATTGCTTTCCGGGGCACGTTTTGTTTGTTTGTTTGTTCTTGATTTTTTTTGATTTTTTAGGGGGGCTATAGGATATGGCGTTCTTGATTTTTTTTGTTTTTGGGGGGCGGGGCTGTAGGATGTGGGTTGGGAAATATCTCTGCAGGTTTTGCCAGGGCACGTTTTTAGACACCGTCTTCCACGGAGAAGGGGATGCAGAACCCCGCCTGGAAGGGATGGACGTTGCCATCCTGTTTGTCCCTGGCTCTGCCAGCTGGTCGGGGCTGGTGCCCTCTCGGGCTCCTCCTGTCACAGTCAGGAGGCCTCGCTGCGGCACACATTTCCAAGACGCGTGGAAGGGGGAAGCCGCTCACCGGCTGTTGCCCTGATGGCTCCCCTGCGTTTCCCAATCCCGGACCCATCCTTGAATTTGGTGTGGGGTTCCCATGGGAACTTGAGGCAAGACCCTGTAGAGAAGACAGGCTCACCTATGCTGCCAGCCATCCAGTGCCTTCTGCAGATTTGGAGACCTCTTAAGGCTGCAGTGGAGGTGGGGGTGGGTAGCTTCAGCGAGGTCCTCTGGGGTACATGATGGCGGGACTTAGGGGTCCTATGGTATGGGGGTGTCTGGGGGCTCTGACGAGTGTGGGGCCTGGGACTCAGGTCAGGTATCGGGTCATCACCTTGTTTGGAGCTTCAGTCCAGAGGAGCCTGACCCGTCTGTGACATCAGTCATTTCTTCTGATTATTAAACAACTGAGGACAGATTAACACTTACTGTCGAGGGAACACTTCTGGAAATTGGACGTGTGAAGATGAAGGTTGCTTAGAACTTTGTTCTCAGGGGTAAAAAAAAAAAAATTGGCTTGTTGATGGCGGGGGGCATCTCTGGGTGTGGACACAGACCAGCATCCTCACGCCTCACACAGTCAACCGAGTGAGGACTGGGCTGGCAGGGCAGAGCCAGTGCCATTGGTCTTGCTGGCGTCACACCAAGTGCGTTGATTCTGGATGAAAACCCTGATGTCCCTCTTTGTTCTGGGAAGGGAGTCTGTTGAGTGTCTAGTAAGTCTGTTAGGCAGGTTCAGGCTTCAGGGGGCAGTCAGAGGTGAGTGAAGCCGTCTGCCGACAGGGAGTTTGTGTTTTCCTGGACTGGTGCTGCCCAAGGGCAGCTGGGAAAGCCCGGGTCCAGGGGTGGGTCAGTGCCCACCCCACCAGCCAGGAGCACAAGAGGCACCGCGGAGGCCGTAGCCTTGAAGACTTTTTGTTTAGAATGCAGTTCTTTCAGTTTCAGTTTTGTGTCATTAATGAATACATTCCTAGTCAATTGATAGTCTTGCTTCTGTCCTTTTCAACTCCAGATTGTAGTTAATCTGAAGGAGATGCAGTTACTCTGCATATGAAGTTTCATGCCTTTCTTTGACTCAGAAAAGAGTCCCTTTCGAAGGAAAACGTTTTAAATTTGAATTTTGTGACTAAACATCCGTTCCCTGTTGAGTTTCTGATCGATAATTGAACGTAAAAGACGGGGGGGTGTTTCTAGGTTGTTTCACTTTTTGTATTTATTGCTGCAGGTGACTTACTGGCTGGTGTCATTGGACAAATGACTTAACCTCCCAAAGTCTCAGTTTCATCATCTGTAAAAAGTGTAATTGGCAGGGCCCAGCTCACAGGGTTGCTATGTGTGTGTAGTGTGTGTGTGTGTGTGTGTGTGTGTGTGGTATGTAGTGTGTGTAGTATGTAATGTGTGTGTAGTGAGTAGTGTGTGTGTGCGGGGGGGGAGAGCTCCACACAGGCCCAGCACCGAGAGTCTAGTACGTGTTTGTTAACGAGCATTAACTTGGAAAACATACTACGAAACACGAGATACAGTTGTCTTCTGCTCCTCAAAGCCAGTTCAAGGAACTTAAAAAAAAAAACAACCCACAACAAATATAGGTTGTTTTCACCCGAAGTGTTCCAGAAGTTGGTGTGTAATAACAGGTAATCATTTTACAAGTATTTTTGAGCACTTCCACGTGCCAGATGGTTTGGCCCTGGGGATAAAATCCTATCCCCGTTCTTAAAAAGTTCCTTATATTCTTACCAAGCAAGTACACCATCCTGATAAGGCATGTTAAGTATAGGACAGTGTCTCTGGAATCTTCTGAACGCAGACTTTCCCCCAGAAGCACTCTTAGGTCAGTGCTGGTAAATTCCAAGCCGCGTGTGTCACAGTGATTCTTACTGTAGGTGAGCAGGGCTGCTTTTTGAGCCTTGGTTCTCAGCCTTTGAAGCATTGGGGAAGGACCTGCCCCCTGAGAAATGCACACGTTTGCACATAGTTTAGTTTCTCCTGGACCCTCTGAAACTCATCCAGCAGCCCCTGGCTTAATGCACAGCTGCAGGGCACGCTTTGGTGGTCTCAGTGGTCTCAGCGCACCACCTGGGGAGCTCTGTATGTGTCTCCCCCTTCACCTTCCTCCTAGTTGTGCCCAGACTGGGGGGTGGGGGGATGAAAGGTGGGGGAAAGGGGCTGCGTGACAGATGAATGCTGAGGCCTTGACCTCTGGGCAGAGGCCACTGCACTTCGGCCCCCGGGCTGGATTTTGGGGACCGGGAGGTGGTAGAGGAACTGGGCCACCCCCGCTGATGCGGGGCCCTGCAGGCTGGCGGCAGGGGCAGGTGCCTCCACGCTGGCTGGCACATCCTCCCTGCCCGAGGCTGGTGAAGAGCATGGCTAGGCTGGCGGCAGCTTTCTTGAAGCTCTTGAAGCCAGAGCTGTGGGTTCAGTGCAGGCCCAAACCCTGTGCCTTTTGCTTTTCTGTTGCCTTGATCAGAGAGCCAGGGTGTGGGCGGGATTACCTTTGATGCCTCAGTGTTGATAAACCTAATGGCAGATTAGAGGACCAGGGATGTGGAGGGCCCTGCCCAGAACCCTCCTAGGGCACACGGGGCTCCTTACTCCTGGAAACTGAGTTACTTCCCATGGCGGGTGGGGACGGAGATAGGAACTGCAACGCTAGGGTTTCATGATTCTACCCAGGAATTGCTTTTTTTCTTGGTTTTCTGTTTGATTAACTTTTAAGTTTGCTCCTGGGACAAACGTTTGTCTTGAC